CTATCAAGGGCCCCAGTACAAAGCAATTTATAACTGAAAAAGAAAAATCACTGCTTTATACTTCTTCCCCAAATCCCAGGCCTGGAGGGCAGTCTCTATAAAAACTTTGTTTCTTACATTCACCTCTCTGTTTCTAAACATCTTGCTGAGGAGCTAAGACTTCTCTTGAGCCCTCCATGGTCTCCCCCATCCCCCACTGCCAGTTACTTAGGAACTCTGGCTAGAGTTTCCCGTAGCTTCTTAGGCTGTTTTTACTTCTTTTCTCTTAACATTGTGTAGAAATTATCTGTTTTGTCTCTCCTGGAGTAGGTTGTTTTCTTCTTGAAGAAAGCTCTCTTTCTTCTTTATCTTTGTGACCCTTGTGTCTCGCATAATATTTAGGATCTAGTTGGGTGAATGATGTGAGAATGAACTCATGATTTTAATACAATGTACCTAACTACTCTTTTCTTACTGTGCAGGATTTCTGACTTCCGGTGAGTGAGCTTCTCTATAAAGTAATACGGCAAAGCAAATTAAACTGGTCAAAGTATAACTAGATCACATTGCATGAAAAATTTTTTTCCCTTTCATCTTAGGAAATACAAAATGAACTGTATTCTGTCTTCTAAGCAGGAGGACATCCAGAGAGAATGTTCTCTATGAAAACAAATGTAGGCATGTAGCATTTTTAAAATAACATTTAAATTGTCAGAGCATAAAGATACAGCCTTTTTATTGCAACCAAAAAACAGGCTTAATAAAAAATATTAAAATTAGCACCAACAAGAAGGCTTTAATTTTCCTACTCATTTAATCCCATTATTATTAGAAAACAGAAAGGCATAACAGTATCAATGGAAAAATTACAGATGGGGGTTTTGTATTAGAAAACCGATAGCGTAAAACAAGTTTGTTCTATTTTTCTGGCTAATGGCATGTATTATAATTCCTACAATTTATCATCATATGTGATCTTATTAGACTTTGACTCAAATATATGGGTATGTGTGACATATCCATGGAGAAATCATGGAAGTTTTTGACATGAGTATATTTTGGCTGAGCTGGGAAAAGGGTTCTAATTTCTAACCTGAGTAAAATAATGAAGATAGATGTTTTTTCCTGACTTTTCCCCTACTTTTCTGTTATTTGGTTATACTATCTATTCTTTCTCAGTGCTCCTTAAAAGGGCTACTAACTGAGGTGGTTTGTGTGTTTTTTTATAATGATTATTATAAAAATAGAAATGTATAGACTGTTTACATTCTATGTTCCTTAGGGAAGATGGGATTACATGGCTTGCTATGAAGACACACTCTGAATGCATGCAATTTTTTCCTAATGGCAGATTCTATAGTGCTTTCCTACTTATTTTAAAATGGAATGGTGTAGGGTCGCCTGGGTGGCTCAGTGGGTTAAAGCCTCTGCCTTCAGCTCAGGTCATGATCCCAGGGTCCTGGGATCGAGCCCCGCATGGGGCTCTCTGCTCAGTGGGGAACCTGCTTCCTCCTCTCTCTCTGCCTGCCTCTCTGCCTAGTTGTGATCTCTATCTGTCAAATAAATAAATAAAATCTTAAAAAAAAAATGGAATGGTGGCAGTTACTTAACCACAGTAATAAATTTTGTGAAATTGATTTCATAGCAGTTTATTTTTTATTCGATTTTTTTTTTTAAAGATTTTATTTATTTGTTTGTCAGAGAGAGAGGAGCGAGAGCAAGCACAGGCAGAGTGGCAGGCAGAGGCAGAGGGAGAGGCAGGCTCCCTGCCAAGCAAGGAGCCTGATGTGAGACTTGATACCAGGACGCTGGGATCATGACCTGAGCTGAAGGCAGCTGCCCAACCAACCGAGCCACCCAGGCGTCCCTATTCGATTTTTTTTTAATTTACTTGAGAGAGAGCAAGCAGAGAGAGCACGAGCAGGGGAGAGGGGCAAAGGGAGAGGGAGAAGCAGACTCCCGGCTGAGCAGGGAGCCCAACATGACGCCGCTGGGATCATGACCTGAGACAAAGGCAGAAGTTTAACTGATGGAGCCACCCAGGCACCCCATAAAATTGATTTTAAAGAGTAATTTTCAAACACATTTAGTACTAAACTAGAATCCCTATTTTAAGTTTATGTTGAAGTTAATATTTTTTTTTAATATTTAAGATTTTATTTATTTATTTGACAGACAGAGATCACAAGTAGGCAGAGAGCGGTGGGTGGGGGAAGCAGGCTTCCTGCTGAGCAGAGAGCCCAATGCGGGGCTCGATCCCAGGACCCCGGGATCACGACCCTTCACGAGCTGAAGGCAGAGGCTTTAACCCACTGAGCCACCCAGGTGCCCCTGAAGTTAATATTTTTTGACTAAAATTAAGCTTTGCTTAGGAAATACTTTTTCATAGAAATAAGCAAACGTATAAAACAGATTATAAGGTCATGTTTAAAATAATTGATTGAAACATCTTTGCATATAGATGATGCTTCCAGTAAAGATCTTATTTAGAAATCAGTTTTACATATTTATTAAGACTTACCTCCTGGGGCGCCTGGGTGGCTCAGTGGGTTAAGCCGCTGCCTTCGGCTCAGGTCATGATCTCAGGGTCCTGGGATCGAGTCCCGCATCGGGCTCTCTGCTCAGCAGGGAGCCTGCTTCCCTCTCTCTCTCTCTGCCTGCCTCTCTGTCTACTTGTGATCTCTGTCTGTCAAATCAATAAATAAAAATCTTAAAAAAAAAAAAAAAAATTTAAAGACTTACCTCCTAATTACCTCCTCGAGCCAGAGTTTAAGTGAATATTTTTTGTTAAACTAATTTGTCCTTCTCTGTTTTTGAAAGGGGTAAGGAAACATTAAAACACTGTTTTTAAGGCTTTCCCTTGTTAATTAGGCTGTCCTCCAATTAGTATAAATATTCTACTTCATCTCATACCCATGTGAAATTAGTGGAGTACAAAATCATCTAAATGTAATTATCCTCCATTTGAAATTGACAAGCATTCTATTTTAGAGAGTAATCTTTTTCGTAAAAAAGATTTTATTTATTTATTTGACAGAGAGCACAAGCAAGGGGAGTGGCAGGGAGAGGGAGAGGGAGAAGCAGGCTCTCCACTGAGCAGGGAGCCTGATGTAGGGCTTGATCCCAGGACTCTAGGATCATGACCTGAGCCGAAGGCAGCTGCTTAACCGACTGAGCCACCCAGGCGTCCCTAGAGAGTAATCTTTAGATTAAATGTATTTCTTTGTTGTGTTTTAGGATTTAGAACAAGTAAATATCCAGAATATCAGAGGTCATTAGTGACAAAGGAAAGATAGCTTTAACTTTTCTTGACTAGCTGTGTTTTACTTTTTTAAGGATTTTATTTCTTTATTTAACACAGAGAGAGAGATCACAAGTAGGCAGAGAGGCAGGCAGAGAGAGAGGGGGAAGCAGGCTTCCTGCCTAGCAGAGAGCCCGATGCGGGGCTTGATCCCAGGACCCTGAGATCATGATCCAGGCCAAAGGCAGCGGCTTAACCCACTGAGCTACACCCAGTAATTAGTGATAATTACTAATCTAAACTTCTTAGAGAATAGAGAAGGAAAATAATTGCCATGTTACTGAAATAAAGATAATTTGGGTTTTTGCACCTTATGGAGCTAGAAGAAAACCTTAGGAAATGAATGCCTTGACTGTGCCCAAATATCCATATATTAACACTTTAGTTGATGAAATATTTGTACAAAATGCTTACAAGTTCAACTACTCCCTCTTAAATTCTAGGTCCTGCAGTAGACTGGTGGGCACTTGGAGTTTGCTTGTTTGAGTTTCTAACTGGAATTCCTCCTTTCAATGATGAAACACCACAACAAGTATTCCAGAATATTCTGAAAAGAGGTGATTCTTTTTCTATTAAGATAGATGTATTTATCTCTGTGTAATATTTGAACAATGATTAACAAGCTACTTGTATTTGTAGATATCCCGTGGCCTGAAGGTGAAGAAAAGTTATCTGATAATGCTCAAAATGCAGTAGAAATACTTTTAACTATTGATAATGCAAAGAGAGCTGGAATGAAAGGTAAGGTTTTGTGTTAATAAACTCTTATCCTTGAATTGTTTAAGATGAATGGTAATAATGATACCGAGTACTAATACAATACCATAAACAATCTGACTGCTAAATCGGTTAAAAATTTCTTCAGTTTACTTTTGCCTGCTAAATATGCATTGATATATTTCTCCTTACTCTGCATTAAAATTCAGTACCTCAGGTTAGGATATTCATTCACTGAATTAATATTCATTAATTCTATTAATCTCAAACAGGTACCTTAAAGCAATCTTATCTTGTCAGTGTCTTGGGTTTTTTCAAAGCCTGATAAAGTTATTCATTGGCCAATACAGGAAATTTTTTTTAATAAAAACTCTCTTCTGAAATTTCTTACTGCTTCATTTCTGATACCACTGTTGACTAAGAGATGTATCAGTTGCTAGATTGTCTCAAATAAGATCTGGTATATTTGTGACCCTTCAATAGCTTTTACCAAGGCAGGCATATATTAAACTCCAATTTTGAAACTAGAAGAACTCATTGGCTTTAATTTTTCAAATTAGGCTTAATGTCAGCTGCCCTAAAATCCTTTTTGTAATGAAGTATACATAGACACAAAGAAGGAGTTATGTCCCCAACTGCATTTCCATGTGGTGTAAGGTATTTAGAAAAATGAGATTTAGTAATATGTCACTTGTATCAGCTTCTAGGTGTTCCCTCTAATAAGATTAACAGTTTATTTATTTAACAAATCCTATAGAGTGACTTCTAGGTGCTAGGCAATGTTGCTGTGGTGCTGGAGGTACCCTAGGGATGAACCAGACTAAAATCCATGTGCTTGTACAACTTACTCTTTAGGGGAGAGACATAAGGTAATGAGATACAACCATGACACCATGACATCTAGGAGTGAGTATGGAGAAGAAAGATAAGGCAAACCATTCATTCAGTCATTTGACAAATATAGACCGAGCACCTGTCATGTGTCAAGTGTTAGACAAAATGACATAATGTGTGCCAGTATGTAGTACATGGTTGCAGAGAGACAGACATATGTGTGAAGCAGTACTAACTTAGGTAATGGCGTCATAATACTCTATTTTGTTTTATATTTTTCCTAAGAGCTGAGACGTCATCCTCTCTTCAGTGATGTGGACTGGGAAAATCTGCAGCATCAAACTATGCCTTTCATACCCCAACCAGATGGCGAGACAGATACTTCCTATTTTGAAGCCAGAAATAATGCTCAGCACCTGACCGTATCTGGATTTAGTCTTTAGCACATAAATTTTCCTTTTAATCTAATCTTTTTTTATAAGCTATCATATACTCCTTCATAGCAGATTGATCTAAGGGGGGAAAAGAATCATTATGTTACTTGGATCAGTGAGCTTCCACAGAGTTAAAAGTCTCGCAAGAACACAGTAACTTATCTTAATCTCAGAGTTGTATATAAATCTTCATTACTTTTTTCACTTTATTTATTTTGTTGCTGCACTTTATGAAAATTAATGCATCAGTAAAACTAGAATGACACTACTCTGTTAAGAGAGGAACAAGCTTTGAGCCTTTCTTTCACATGTTGATTTCAGTCCACCATTCAGTTTGGTGTTAAAATAACAAAATCATACGGTTTTTTTGTAATTTATGTGGACATGATCGCCTGCAAAAGTGGAAGTCTCAAGAGCAATCATTTAAGCTTGCATTTGTGGCCCCAAAACTGCAGCTGGGAAATTCCTTTACTTGGTAGTGTAACTCCTTTAGGGAATGAGGAATAAAAAGGATAGAGGCTTTAGCTTACTTTACTATGAAACAGTCTTACAGCAAGTCAGTCTTGCTGCCTTGACTGCTTCTGGTTCTTTCTTTACAATATATATTTGCTTAAAATTGTACTAGAGAGCTTAGGTGAGATATGCTATAGCAATTTTAACAGTTTATTCAAATTTAATAAAACATGTGATGGTTTACATCTTAAGAGAATTTGTTTAAAACACATGCAACAGGGGCGCCTGGGTGGCTCAGTGGGTTAAGCCGCTGCCTTCGGCTCAGGTCATGATCTCAGGGTCCTGGGATCGAGTCCTGCATCAGGCTCTCTGCCTTCGGCTCAGGTCATGATCTCAGGCTCCTGGGATCGAGTCCTGCATCAGGCTCTCTGCTCAGTGGGGAGCCTGCTTCCCTCTCTCTCTCTGCCTGCCTCTCAGTCTACTTGTGATCTCTCTTTAATAATAAATAAAATCTTTAAAAAAAAAAAACACATGCAACATTACAAGAAACAACCTGATACTTAAAAATAAATAATTTATTTTTGCTTAATAAATGTAACACTTCAAGTATATTATCTGTCAACATCCTTCTATTAATTATATATACATACTAAGATTCAACTTCACTATAATTCATTACCCAGTGGTAAGTAAGTGAGTGAGTAGTCAGAGACAAAGGAAGATGGTGACAGAGTAGGACGACCCTAATCTTGCCTTGTCCCATGAATAGAACTACATAACTATCAAATCATCCTAAATAGCCCAGGAATAGACCTGAAGACGAACAGACCAACTTCACAACTAAAGGGAGAGAAGAAGCCACATCGAAGAAGGTAGGAAGTATGGAGACAAGGTTTAGGAGAGAAAATGGATCCTGGCTGCTGTGGAGGCGGGGGAGCTGTGGTCACGGAGAAGGGCAAGGGAGAGGGGCACACTAGATCACACAAGGAGAAGGTTTCCCCATAGCCACTGGCTTGGAAAACAAGAGGGGCTGAATTTCATGAGTTCTTGCAACTGGGAGGGCGTAAAGCCTGGAGTTTTCAAGGTCAGCAGGATTGATTGGGATAGAGCCCAAAGGTACTATGCTGCTCCTAGAAGGAAGGCAGACAACCCTGGGGACAGACAGATTGAAATGAGCAATCTGAAGAGTGCCAGGGCACATGGTGAAGAGAATACTCCCTCTCCTTGGAGCTGTCCCTGAGTGGGAGAGTTCATGGAGACACCTCTCCAGGGACAGAGGAGCCAGCTAGTGCCATTTCCCTCCCCACCCCCACCACCACCCCAACCCCCCACCCCCACCCAGCATATACACAGAGCCCCCGTAGGGAAGCACTGTGGCACCAATATTGACTACCTAACTTGCTTACACCAAGCACCTTCCCCTTGCACTCCGGTGGAACCACCCTTCTCAGTCACGCTTGCCTGAGTCCCACTGTGGGGGCCCCCTTCCCCAGAAGACCAGAACAAAGCCCAGCCTATACCACATCTCCTGACCAGAGTTTTGCAGGACCTCAGTTCCAGTGGAGGCTCGTTTCACGAGCAGACTGAAGCCCACCTAGTTAAAACTCACCACATCCAAGCCAGGTACCAAACACTGCCCATAGCAGGCAAAGAGCCTCTGCAGATGACTGGCCTCAAGGACAGAGCAGCCAAAACAATACAACAGCAGAGTGCACACAACACATACCAGAGGCACTCCCTGAAGGACCAGGCTGTGGACACTATGGGACATCTTCATAAGGCCATTACTGTCAGGAGCAGGAGACCTAAATTGGAACACAGACAAGAAGGCAGTGACTTAGACAAAATGAGAAGTCAGAGAAATTTATCCCAGATGTAAACAAGATAAGGCCACGGCCAAAGATCTAAATGAAACAGATATAAATAACATTCCCGTTAGAATTTAAAACAACAGTCATAAGGATACTCACTGGGCTTGAGAAAAGAATAGAAGACACCAGTGTGATCCTTACCATAGAGAAAAGTTAAAAAGGAAGCAGAGATGAAGAGTGCAATACATGAGATTAGAAACGTGCTTCTAAAAGGCTGGAAGAAGCAGAGGAATGAATTAATGACCTAGAAGACAAAGCAGTGGAAAGCAAAGAAGCTGAACAAAAGAGAGAATTATGCAAAATGAAAATAGAGTTGGGAAACTCATTGACTGACTCCACCAAATGTAATAATATTTGTATTATAGGATCCCCAGAAGAAAAAGATGAATGGTGAGATGAATTCATTCAAAAGGGGACAGAAAATTTATTTGAAGAAATAATAGCTGAAAAATTCCTTAAACTGGAGAGGAAAACAGACATCCAGATCCAGAAGGCAATGAGAACTCCCATCAAAATCACTAAAAGGGGGCGCCTGCGTGGCTTAGTGGGTTAAGCCTCTGCCTTAGGCTCGGGTCATGGTTTTGGGGTCCTGGGATCGAGCCCCACATCGGGCTCTCTGCTCAGCGGGGAACCTGCTTCCCCTCTCTCCCTCTGCCTGCCTCTCTGCCTACTTGTGATATCTCTCTCTGTCAAATGAATAAATAAAATCTTTTTAAAAAATCAATAAAAGGAGGCCCACACCAAGGAATACTGTAATTATGGGGTGCCTGGGTGGCTTAGTCGGTTAAGCATCTGCCTTCGGCTCAGGTCATGATGCCAGGGTCCTGGGAATTGAGCCCCATATCGGGCTCCATGCTCATTGGAGAGCCTCCCTCTCCCTCTCCAGCTCCCCCCACCTTGCTTGTGTTCCCTCTCTCGTTCTCTCTCTGTCATAAATAAATAAAATCTTTTTAAAAAATACTGTAATTAAATTTGCAAAATCTTAACAAAAGAAGTCATTAACTTACAAGGAAAAACCCATAAGGGTAGCAAGAGATTTTCCAAAAAAACACTTGGCAAACCAGAAGGGAGTGGTGTGCTATATTCCAGTGCTGAACGGAGAAAAATCTGCAGTCAAGAAAACTCTATCCACCCTGAGCAGCGCCATGGCGGTCGGTTGGCAAGAACAAGCGCCTTACAAAAGGCAGCAAAAAGGGAGCCAAGAAGAAAGTGGTTGATCCGTTTTCTAAGAAAGCACCAGCTATATTCAATATAAGAAATATTGGAAAAACATTAGTCATAAGAACTCAAGGAACCAAAATTGCATCTGAGAGCCTCAAGGGTCGTGTTTTTGAAGTGAGCCTTGCTGATCTGCAGCATGATGAAGTTGCATTTAGAAAATTCAAGCTAATTACTGAGGATGTTCAGGGCAAAAAGTGCCTAATTTCCATGGCATGGATCTCACCCAGGACAAAATGTGCTCCATGGTCAAAAAATGGCAGACCATGATTGAAGCTCATGTTGATGTCAAGACTACCGATGGTTATTTGCTTCATCTGTTTTGTGTTGGTTTTACTAAAAAATGCAATAATCAGATTCAAAAGATCTCTTATGCTCAGCACCAACAGGTCTGCCGAATTCGGAAAAAGATGGAGATCATGACCCAAGAGGTCCAGACTAATGACTTGAAAGAAGTGGTCAATAAATTGATTCCAGACAGCATTGGAAAAGATAAAGAAAAAGTTTGTCAGTCTATTTATCCACTCCATGATGTCTTCGTTAGAAAAGTAAAAAATGCCAAAGAAGCCCAAGTTTGAATTGGGAAAGCTCATGGAGTTTCATGATGAAGGTAGTAGTTCTGGAAAAGCTACTGGGGATGATTCCGGTACTCAAGTTGAACGAGCTGATGGGTATGAGCCACCAGTCCAGGAATCTGTTTAAAATTCAGACATTAAGTGGTGACAAAAAACCTTATTTGTGATGTTTTTTAAAAAAAAATAGAATACTCTATCCAGCAAGGCTATCATTCAAAATAGAATGAGAGATAAAGAATTTCCAGACAAACAAAATAAAAGAGTTTGTGGCCACTAAACAAGCCATGCAAGAAATATTAAAGGGTACCCTGATCGGAAAGGAGAGATCAAAAGTGATAGTATAAAGACAGGAAACATAAAAGAAGTAAAAAGAATTTTTTTTGAAAGATTTTATTTGAGAGAGAGAGTACAGGCAGGGGGAGAGGGAGAGGGGAAAAGCAGGCTCCCCGCTGAGCAGGGAACAGCCGGTGGGGCTCAATCCCAGGACCCCGGATCATGACCTGAGCTGAAGGCAGATGCTTAACTAACTGAGCCTCCAGGAGCCTCCTGTTGCATTTCTATACACCGATAACGAAGCAACAGAAAGAGAAATTAAGGAATCAATTCCATTTACAATTTCACCAAAGACACTAAGATACCTAGAAATAAACCTAAACAAAGAGATAAAAGACCTATACTCTGAAAACTACAAAACACTGATTAATTTGAAGATGACACAAAGAAATGGAAAGATATTCCATGTTCATGATTTGGAAGAACAAATATTGATAAAATATCTACGCTACCCAAAGCAGTCTACACATTTAATACAATCCCTATCAAAATATTAAAAGCATTTTTCACAGAGCTAAAACAAACAATCTTAAAATATGAATGAAACTACAAAAGACCCCAAATAGTCAAAGCAGTGTTGAAAAGGAAAAGCAAAGTGGGAGGCATCACGATTCTGGACTTCAAATTATATTACAATCAAACATGTACTGGTACTGGCACAAAAATGGACACACAGATCAATGGAATAAAATAGAAACCCAAAAATGAACCCACAACCATATGGTTAACTAATCTTCAACAAGGCGGGAAAGTATAACCAGTGGGAAAAAGACAGTCTCTTCAATAAATGGTGTTCAATAAACACTGGACAGCACCACGCAAAACAGTGAGACTGGACCACTTTCTTACATCCTAGACAAAAATGAATTCAAAATGGAACAGAGACCTAAATGTGAGACCTGAAACCATGCAAATCCTAGAAGAGAACATCGGCAGTATGCTCTTTGACGTCCGTTGTACAAACTTTTCCTAGATATGTCCCCAGAGGCAAGGGCAACAAAACAAGATAAACTAATGGGTCTGCATCATAATAAAAACCTGCACAGCAAAGAAACCAATCAACAAAAGTAAAAGGCAACCTACCGAATGGGAAAAGATATTTGCAAATGATAGATCTGATAAAAGGTTAGTATTCAAAATATATAAAGAACTGATACAACTTAGTACCCAAAAACAAATAATCCAATTTAAAAATGGGCAGAAGACCCAAGTAGACATTTTTCTAAAGAAGACATCCAGATGGCCAACAGACACATGAAAAGATGCTCCACATC